GGCCTTCTCTTCATATACTTGGCGCCGTGGGACTGAGCTGATCGCGGACTGCTGTGGAGCAAGCGTGCACGGGCGCGCGGAACTCCGCGCGGGGCACGCTCGGAGCGAGCGGGGTGCCGAATCATCCGGGCGCCCTCGCGCGAACCCGCCCATGGAGGCTGCAGGTGGAGCTTTTTGTGGGGTACACCTTAGGCGATGCTTAAGAAAACCCAAGTTTTCGGCCAGAGTCTCGATTGTTCTTAATGTTTCCATGTAAATCCAAATATTTGAATAGACATTTTGGGTTTGTATTCAAATTCTGAGACTATGACTTTCTTAACCCATGATTTCTAAAGCATGTCGCAGGGTGTACGACCCGTGTGAGGCATGTGCCGAGGTGGTCGGCGGGGATGCCATGCGAAGTTGCCCATTGGTGCCATAGGTGGGGCTCGTTCCATGGCACGATTCGCGTGAATGGCATGCCGTCATGGGCGGAGGGATGATTTGCAAGCCTTGTCTCCGGGGCTGTGGGTGTTGCTCCCTGTGGGGCGCGTTCTGCGTGAGGGGTGCGCCACAATGGGCGGGGGGGCGCTATGCGAACCTTGTCTCTGGGGCCGTCGGTGGATTTCCCTGTGAGGCACGATCAGTGTAGGGGCTGTGCCTAAGTAGGCGGGGGGGGGGGCGGGATGCCTCTGGGGCCATAGTTGGAACTCCCTGCAGGGCACGATATGTATGAGAGGTGTGCCGACGTGAGCGGGGCGACGCTATGCGAATCTTCCCTTTAAGGGCAGTTACCTTCGGGGCAGCACGATCCGCGTGAGGGGTGTGCCGCTATGCGATGGGGCCGTAGATGGGGCTCCGTGGGGCACGATCCATGTGAGGGGTGTGCGGATATGGGCGGGGGGGGGCGTAGGCGGAGGTTGCTCAAGACACGATCTGAGTGACGGATGTGTCCACATAGGCGGGAAATCGCTGTTCACACATGTATGCCCACGATGGCGCAGGTGTTCCCACGTGGTGATCGTGGTGGGATTGCGTGCGTACCCATCCTCTGATTGATATGGCGCTGGCTTTGCCTTGGCTAGAAAGAAAGCGCGCGACGCGCGCACGCGCTGTTCTAGTTGATGCATCTTTGGGGGATCTCCGCGCCGACTATTTATTTGAGCAGTTGGATGTCTGGGGGTGCCTCGGGGGGCCTCCACGTCCTCCGCGGCACCAAATAGAGGAACAGTGCTGGGGGATGAACCAGCTTCATCCGCTAGAGGTGTGGGGTCTGGAGTCCTCTCGGCGGCGCGCTTTTCCTGGTCGTAGGACGCTCCTTCCGCACCCATTTGAGGTTCAAGTTGGTTGGTCATCAACAGCGAAAAGTATACCACCCCGCAACTGCGGGTAAGAATGACTGGGCGGGCGCGGGGTGGGTCGCGGGTGGGTCGCTGGGTGGCCGCGGGGTGGGTCGCGGGGCGCACTGAGAGACACAAGGAGCACGCGGAGCACGCGGCGCACTGAGAGGCATTCTTTGCGATATAGTTTCAATGGTTGATCTTCCTCTGCAGAGTCGCACACAACAGCGACAAGAGCAGCAACACCATTAACACCAACACCAGCATCATCAGCAACACCAGCAACAACACCAACAGCATCAACAACAACACCAATCATTTGAAGACTGTTCGCTCTTACCTGCTCGCGTACCACTCAACACGTATATCTCAAATTCTAGATACCCACCCGTCTCGTCTTCGATCGTATCCCTTTTGGGGTATATCTTTCTTACATGCAACATGTGTATTTCGTGCAGCACCCAAGGCAGGGGAAGAGACGACGGATGGAAGGAACGGACAAGGGGGATAGAGGAGGATGGTGCACGAGAGAGAGAGAGAGAGAGGGAGAGAAAGAGAGAGAGAGAGAGAGAGAGAGAGAGAAAGAGAGATAGAGAGAGAGAGAGAGAGAGAGCGTAGCAGGCGGGGGGCTAGGAGCAGAAGGCACGTGGCGGAACCAGACGGGCCGATCGGGCGGGTAGACCCTAACAGGCGGGCCCAGGCGGCCAGGTCGAGCAGGGGGGTTGTTGAGGCGTGCGTCCTGCATGAATCGCGAGGTAACCTTGAGCGACCGCGCGATTCCAAAATATATCTCGTGAGACAATCCAGAGCGAGAGCGTGATTCCTGAGTGTCGAGGGCGCGGCGCTTGAATCAATTGCGAGGAGGCCCCAGGCGACAGCGCGATTCCTGAGTGTCGAAAGCGCGACGCTTGAAACAATTGAGAGGAAGTGTCCAGCGAGAGCGCGATTCTTCAACACACTGCAAAAAGTCCCCAGCGAGAGCGCGATTCTCCAATACATTGCAAGGAAGAGTATCAGGCGGGAACCGTTGTTGTTGTAAACTGGGGGCCAGGAGGAAGTTTGAGCAGGAATATTTTCATGGTGTGAAACACAGCGAGCCCCGGGAGGGGCACTCCAACTAAAAAAAAAACACGTATGCTACGCAAATGCGTGAGCCCCGCTTAATTCGCCAGGAAGTCTCGGGCGAGAGCGCGATTCCTAAGTAAATGATGAGGGCGTCCCAGGCGAGAGCGCGATTCCTGAATGGCGAGAGCGTGGCGCCTGAATAAATTGTGAGGAAGTTGCAGGCGACAACGCGATTCTTGAATATATATATTGAATGGGATTTCCTTGCGAGGGCGTGATTCTACAATACATGTCAAGGACATGTCACGCGGGAGTCGTGGTTGTTGTACACCGGGGGCCAGGGGCACAGTTTGAGGAGGAATATTTTCCGTGCGAAAAAAACATGGTGCGAGCCCCTGATGGAACAATTCCGATGTTACCGTGGGGGATTAATAATCATTATTTTTAGAAAGGATAGTTCAACATCATCAGCAATCATTTTAAGACTGTTTGCTCTTCCTGGCGCGCGTTTCTTGCATTTTGTATACCCAACCCTCGATAACCGCCCACTTCGTCTTCGATCGTGCCCCCATTTCGGGGGGGAATGTCTTCCTTGTCGGCCATTGACTAAAGTGCGAGGAACTCGAGTGTTCACGCCGTATACATTTTGAGAAGAATACATTTTGAGAAGACGCCGTTTCTGGGCCTCCACCAACTTGCTTGAATTACGAGACTGTCTTGAGCGAGAGCGCCACTCTTGAATTCGGGGGCCTCTCTGGCCAGGGGCTCTGGGGATACATCACGAGGAACTATCGAACGAGAGCCCTTGTCGTCGTAGTTAGGCCTCCACCAATTTGATTGAATCTCGAGAAAGTCTCGAGCGAGAGCGCCATTCTTGAGTTTGGGGGTCTTGTCGTCGTGGCTGGGCCGCCGCCAACTTGATTGAATTGCGAGGAAGTCTCGAACGAGAGCGCTGTTTCTGAGTTCGGGGGCCTCTCTGGCCAGGGTTTCTCGGGGTAAATTGTGAGGAAGTATCGGGCGGGAGCCGTTGTCGTCGTAGCCGGGCCTCCACGGGCACAAAATCACAAGCAAGCCCACGCTTGTGCGGGAGCTTCGTTTTCAGAGGAATTGCAGCCGGCGTCGAGGCGAGAGCGCGCGGAACCGTTTCCAGAGATCAAACAACTATTCTCTAGAAGTGGACATTCAACAATAACAAAAACATCATCATCAACAACAACAATAACAAAACAACAATCACACAAAAACCAACATAACCAGCCATATTAATATTGTTCGCTTGAGTATGCTCGCGTGCCATGCAACGCGTGTATCCCAAACCCCCTATACCCACTTTCTTCGTCTGGGATATAGCCCTTTGGGGGATCTATCCTCCTTACCTGCAACGTGTCTTTCGTGCAGCCTGTAAGGACGGGGAAGCGAGGATGGATGGAAGGAAGGGACAAGGGGGGAGGGAGGAGGATGAAGCGCGAGAGCGATCAGCAGGAGGGGGGCAAGGAGCAGAGAACACGTGGCACAACCGGACGGGTTGATGGGCGGGTAGACCCCAACGGGCGGGTCGGGAAGGCGGGCCCGGGCGGCCAGGTCGAGCTGGCGGGTTCCTGAAGCGTGCGACCTGCATGTGTCGCAAGTAGGCCTCGAACGATATCGCGATTCTCAGGTAATTCGCGAGAAAAGCCAACGCGAGAGCGTGATTCGTGATTGTCGAGGGCGCGGCTTTTGAATCAATCGCGACGAAAGCCCAGTCGAGAGCACGATTCCTGCATGCATTGTGAAAAAGGGCCGGCGCGAGAGCCAATGTTGTTGCAAACTGGGGGCCAACAACACAGTTTGGTGACACAAGACGTTCCCCGATGAAAAACAGGTCGAGAGCCCCAGGAAGGGCATTTCAATTGAAACATGCGAAAGTCACCTGAGGGGGGATCAGCCATAATCATTCTTCGGAAGTGAGAATTCAACAACAACAAATCCAATCATTTTGAGACTGTTCGCTTTCACCTGGTCGCTTGGCGCTGCGGATAAGGATGAGGGCCCGTCTTGGGGCTTTTTTGGGCTCCGGGGCTCCCAGGGGGGGCGTCGTATCTGACCCCCCTCCCCCCCCGGGATCCCTCCCCGGGACCTCCCCCGGGACCCCCCCCGGGGCCCCCTCTGGGGACCCCTCCGGGGACCCCCCCCCCTGGCAGGGGAGGGATCGAAGGGAAGGGGCTTCCCTTCGACTCAATTACGACGTTGCTCAACTTCGCTTTGGCTGGCGCGCTGAGGAGGTCCCTGGGAAAGGGGGGAGCTTCGACGAGCCCAGGGAAAGGGGGGAGGCAGGGAAAGGGGACGACAGAGACGATGACCAACGAATGACGGAGATGACGACTTGAACGGACAAGCCCCTCACACACGCCGACAGGGTCGGCGGATTCGCATCCGCTGCCTCACGGGCTGGACCCCTGGGTCGCGACCCCGCGGACACGGGGCGTTCTTTCGCAGATACCCCGCGCGCAACGTCTCTGTGCGACCGCGTATCCGCGGGATCGCGCCCCTGAATCATCCAGACCGCGAGGGCGCGGATATGGATACGTTCGCCGCCCGTGAATCTCGGCGGCCGCCCCCCCCCTGCGCCAGCCCGAGGACCTCTCGGCGAAGTACCTCACGGAGCGGTCTGCTCCGCAGCGGGCCGACTCCGGCATTGCCTCGCTGGGCTCTGGCCGGTCGCCCCGGTCGCACGGTGCAGGCGTCCCTCGCGGCCAGGAGCCGCCTGCCGGGGCCAAAGGCAGAAGTTTCATTGCAGGCAGGAGGCCGTTTTCTTATCCCCGGGCGTGACCAGGGGTGGTGGGCCGGCCACGTCACGATTCGCGCCGGCGCCGCCTGGGAATGTCTAAGAATGGCTCGTTCCCAGACGGCGCTAGCTCGGGAGCTGGTCACGGGCGCTATCGCGAGTAATGTGGGGGGCTCCAGCAGCTTTTGAAGGTAAACGCTCTTGAAGGTCATCATGTTTTTTTTCTTAGCGTGGGGGGTGGGGTTTGCTTTCAGTGAGCTCAGTTTTGTCCCCAAAGGGATCCAGGGTCGGAGTTCGAGGGTCGCCAGAGGCCGGCTGGTTCCTCCTGGGCTCGTCCGCAGCCGCAGCAACAGTCGAAGAACAAACCAATGCATAAACGTACGGTAGGTTCGCGTCGTGTCGACTGGTGGCGACACCGCAGCCGGCTTGCAACGTTGAAAGCCGCCAGCGACCTAGAATCGGTCGACGTTGAACGGTTTGACGTCTCGGAAACGGCCGATCGTTCCAGGTTGAGCGATCCGATCCGCTGGGTCAAAAGCCAACGCCGAAGTCGGCACGACACGAACCTGCCGTAAACTGTTGGAGCTCCGCGCGGACTTTCTCGGATCGGCGCGGGGCCCCCCTGGGCGCCGCCTCTCGGCGCCGCCTCTCGGCGCGCTCCGCGCGCCAGGCAGGGGGACCCAGCGCCGATCCAAAAAGTCCGCGCGGACCTCAGAAAGTTTATTCAGGAGGGGAAGAAACACACAGACACAATTAATCGGCGATTCCCAGAAAATATGGAAAGATATGGGAAGTGGGGGGGAAGACAAAGACCCAGAAAATATGGAAAAATATGGGAATCCTTTTATTTGTGTGTATTTATTTGTGTGTTTGTGGGCCCCTTCATTTATGTCTGTGCAGTTGTTCGTTCCTCTGGCAACACGGGCAGCGGGTGGCAGCTGGGTGGCCCGGCGGTCCAGGCTGGCCCGCTGGGGTCAAAGGGTCGAGGAGGGGAGGGTGCGGAGGTTGTGCACGTACACTGCTGGGTCGATCCCGGGCCATGCCGGGACTGCGTATCCGGCACGGGTGCGGAAAGAACGGGCACGATGCTCAGCAGCATGTCTTGTTCATTCTTGACAGGACTTGCTGTCCGTGTCGCCGCGGGCGTTGTGCATTCGCTGTCTGTTCTTGGCAACGTTGGTTGTGGGGCATCGTATCCATCTCGGTCGTCCACATATGAATTGGAGCCCAGTAGTTGCCTGGCCCGCATCGGTGTAGATATCTCGTTGGCGACCTCTCACGAGGGTCGCGGACCGAGCGTCGTCGTGCTGCAAAAGTTCAAGTCGGAACTTATTGCCGTTGTTTTTTGTTCAGTTTTGCTTTCGCTATTGGTCCCTGGGGGCCGTTTCGGGCCCCTAGGCCGTCAAGCGAAAGATCCAGAAAAAAGCCAGTCCCACGCAAGGCTTCGAGAGCCCCCGCGTATGGAAGATCACGCGTCGAGGTTTTCGGAGGATCGAGGTCTTCATTTTTGAGGGTGCTTTTCGGGCCTGCTCGGTCCTGTGGGCCTCTGGAGGCCTCCCGGAGCCACTGGGACCTCCACGCCTCGAGTTTCAGGCCAAGGGGGGGGGCCCATGCGCAGGCTTTTTCTTGGAGGAGGGATCCCAGGCATTTGGACTTTTCTCACCGGGCGTCGTCGCCCTGCCTCGGGCGCCCGTGCAGCTCGATCCAGCTCGAGAAGTGCCTCGGAAAAAGGGGGGTCCAGGGGTTCGGTCGGAGTTTTCCCTGACAGCTTGTCTGCTGGGCTCCTATCTATATATATACGCACATACATACACGTACACCTACATATAGATAGATAAATATATTTATATATATATATATGTATATATATATATATATATATATATATATATATATATATATATATATAAAAAATATAAACATATTTATATATACACGCCAAAAACAGTGTCCGAAGGCGAGTGGGTGCTGTGCGCGATTCAAAGTCGGTGGCGCGTGGTCTCTGGCCGTGCCTCGTGGTCTCTGGCCTCGGCTCGTGGTCTCTTGGTCACGGCCTGCGGTCTCCCGTCGGGGCCTGTGGCTCGTGTGGGCTCCCGGTCTGGTCTCCCGGGTGGTCTCCCACTTGGTTTGCCTCTTTCGTAACCTAGGGTTGTTCGTTCCCGCGGACGACCCTCCTGTCGGCGCCCACCACATCTCCCACATGGTTTGCCGTACAGTGCAGCGTAGGATGCCATGGGGTGGTCCAGTACGACGTACAGTACAGCCTCCTGTCGGGGCTTGTGGCTCGTGGTCTCTCCCGTCTGGTCTCCCGGGTGGTCTCCCACATGGTTTGCCGTACACCTTAGGCGATGCTTAAGAAAACCCAAGTTTTCGGCCAGAGTCTCGGTTATTCTTAACGTTTTTCAATCTAAATCCTGAGTTCGTAATAGAAGTGTTGGGTTTTTGTTCAGGATCTGAGACTCTGAATTTCTGAACCCATGATTTCTTAAGCATTTCGCAGGGTGTACAGTGCAGCGTAGGATGCCATGGGGTGGTCTAGTACGACGTATAGTACAGCCTGGTCACGGTTCTCGCGATTCGCAAGTCGGCCCATCTGCCCACCCCACCATAAAAGGTTATTTCTCATAGATGTTGCACTTTCGTTGCCCATCGTCTCCAGTCTTGTCATGAAGCTCCTTCCTCTTCCATGCCATTGGCGGTGGCATGTGATGGGAAATTCTTAATGTTCGGAGCTTGTTCACCGAATCCATTCGGAAGGCCGTGCAAGTTGATAAGGGCATGCGCGCATCTCGATGAAGTTGGCGAAATCATGTGTGCATCTCGATGATCGTGTTGATGATCACTAGCGAGCGCGTAGAGCAATATGGTTTAATAAGTTTACGTGAATGCATTTTTGTCATAGTGTTTGAAGAGCTCGATTTTGAGATGCTTCGAAAACAAGTGGTGCTTGAATAATTCTGTTGTGCGCGCGCACGCGCGCATGCGGCCTGCATTGCATTTTTCACAAGGGATTTGTAACATGGATCGACCATGTCCATCGCACATCGTCATTTACGAGGGAGCGTACCCAGGCCAGGTAATCAGGATTCCGCACCGACATCTATTATTTCACATGTAAGTTAGTCGTGGTGTCCGTGAAACGTATGCAAGCGTATAGCGGAATGTCGGATCCGGTCTGTCCCGACTCATACGGTACAGTAGATCCATTGGAAGGTGATGATTTGTTAGGATTTGGGGGACATTGTGTTATATCATGTGCTCTTTTGTACGTTATGCTATGGTCTAGTCAGCTGTATCGCAAGGTACGGTAGAATATTGTAATTCAGCCTTGCTTTCTTATGGTATCGTACAGAATAGTATTCTATAGTGTACTCCATCGTGTTGAACAGCTGCTTCGAGCAATCTGCCGACAATGGTGTAAGTTTGGAATTCTTTGTCTGATCTAGAGACTTCAGACCTACGGGCGCAGCCCTAGTAGCATACACAAAATCGCAGGCCTAGATGTTGACACCAACACCAAGATCGGCGGTGTGCGTCCACCGAGGGAAGACGATCCCGATCTCGGTGATGGTGGTAATATTCTGGCTTCCAAGGTGGCTGAAATATTGCCACCAACACCGAAATCTAGGATCATCTTCCCCTGTGGAGGCAACCCCCTGGGCTGGTGTTGGTGCCAATTTCCAGGCCTCCAACAAAACGAGGCGCGACGAGAAAAAAAAACCGCTGCGTGGATGGGGGCCGATAGGCCTGGGGGCGCTCCGGGGCTCCCGAGGCCTCCCCAAAAGGATCTGATCATCATCTGATCTTCCAGGAGGGCAAACACAGCACCAGGACGCGCGGCGTTCTGTCGAGTTCGATGCTTCCAGCAGCCCAGAAAGCTCGCGAGGTCTGGAGAGCTATTTTCTGCCTCGCTGGGAGGTCAGGGTCCCCCCGCCCCTCTCCCCCCTCTGTCCCCTCCAGGTTGCAACCCCCCTTCGTTTAAGTACCCAGGTGTGTTGGTGGCCTCGGCCTCCCAGTCGAGTAATCTTTGCCCCCTCAGCCATCTGGCGACCAGCTCTGGCCCCAGCAGGCCGCGTCACGCGAAGCCTTGCTCTGGGGACTGGGGCGGCGCCTGGTGCAAAGTCGGGGCGGAAGCTCCCCAGCAGGCGCAGAAGAGCGCGGCTCGCTGGGCTCCTCCTGTAATGGGCTGGACATTTTCGGCCATGTCTCGCCCTCTAGCCCGGACGTCCGAACCAGCGTTGTTTTTCGTGACCTGGGCCCCCTAGGGCTGCTCTGCTTCATTCGAGTATTTTTGTTGGACGGTCCTGGGGCCCGAAAGCTGTCCCCGAGTGCCGAAAACGGAAATTCTTGCGGCGCGATTTACTCGCGCTGTTCAGAGATGTGGGAGGTCGAAGGGGCTCGATCTATACATCCTGTCGCTTGGTCGGCCCAAGAGCCATGGAGCTTTCCATGAAGGAGCCTGTTGGCAGCTTACCTGGACCATCTTGGGGCTCTCTTGGGGCCATTTCGGATGCAGGTGGGACTCTCTTGAGTCCCTCTCGGGGCCCTCCTGGAGGCCTTGGGCAAGCTCTTGGGGGTTCTTAATTTCCCCCCCCCCCCCTGTTGCAAGCCGAAAATCGTGGTGTCCTCTCGGGACGCTCTTCGGGCGCTCATGTGCGCTCATGGAGTCGTCTTTGAGCTCTCCTGGGCCCTACCTGGGGTTCTCTTGGGCGATCTTAGAGCCATCTTGAGGCCTCCAGGGCCATCGGAAGCGAATCGGCGAGAAGACGAGACACATGTTTTTTTGAGTTTGAAGTATTTTGGCATCTCGGGGGCGTCCATGGATGTATGGCTCTTGGAGGCATATTTGGGGACCAGCTTGAGCCATCTGGAGGTAATTTTGGGCATCCTGGGCCTTTGGGTCATCTTGGGCTATCTTGGATGCTCTATAGCGTCGCGCCCCCCGCCCACCCGTCGAGACCCAGGAAGAGGGTGTAGGGGAATCAGTGGGTTGGAAGAACTAACCACCTTCGCCCAGATAGCTGTTGGGATTCGATTCGTAGATGCTCTGACATCCCACACCTTGATAGGTTGGGGCGTCTGTGCACTGAGCTTCTTGGCCGACAAGACGACTAGGTGCCCAGACATGCGATACCCTAAATTTTTCATAACGGGGTCCCTGGAAGTCCAGACCACTTCCCCAGGGCCGGCGTTTTATCCCGAGTCGTTTTTTGACGGTCCTGGCGCCCGGCGAGGGCCCCAGAGGCCGAGAAGGGTCCCAAACTTATTTTCTGTACGACGCGACCAAAGGCAACGTCACGTCGCCGACTCCAGGTCGATGCCCCCCCCCCCCAGGCTGATCCCCCCCTGACGTTGCCCCTCGTTTCGGGGGCTCGTAGAGGGGGGCCCAAGGAAGGTGGGGGCGGGGAACGAGCCCAGCTGGGGATGCTCACGTTTAGAGCGGCTTCCCTCCTCCCCACCCCACCTCTGCCCGTACGCCCCGCCCTCTCTCAGAGAGGGAAAAAACACACAGACACAATTAATCGTCGATCCCAGGAAAATATGGAAAAATATGGGAAGTGGGGGGGAAGACAAAAACCTAGAAAATATTGGAAAATATGGAGAATCTTTTTATTTGTGTAAATTTATTTGTGTGTCCCAGGGCCCCTTCACTCTCATACGCCCCCCCCGATCCTTCCGGGAGGCCCCGGCCGCCTCCTCGGCAGCTCGCCCGAGGGCCCCACCGCCAGCTGTTTTCTCGGCTCTCCGGCACCCTGCCTCCTCGGCGGGCGCCGCCCCCCCGCCCGCACCCGAGGGGGGGGGGGGGCGTGCGGGGGCCCCCGGGGGCCCCCTGCGGGGTGGCGATGGCCATCGCCCAGCATGCCGTGCTGATGCGGAACGACGGCGTCCCGGTGACGATGGGCAGCAAGGCCGGCGCGGGGAGGAGCCTGAGATCCTGGCGTCTCGGTTCTTCCGAGCCGGGCATTTTCGGCCTGTTTCGGGCCCGGGGGCCCCCGCAGATGGGTCTGGCCCGAAAGATGCAGCAGAAAGATGGGGTCCAGGGCTTGGTCTCGTTTTTGTTCCACGATGCTACAATCTTTCCGTGCCGTCGGATCTCAGGGGAGCGACACCACCGCCACCAGACCACTGTCAGAGAGGAGGTCCACGATGTTTCCCCTAGCTGGATATGTTATTTTTTACTTTTTTTTTGTGACCCGGGAGGGGGGGAACACCCGTCCCTCCCCCCCCCCCGCTAATGGGACCCTTCGGATCCGTGGCTTTGGGGACCCCTTGCATGGACGCCTCTGTAGAAGGTCCCCCAGACTTTCCGGGGCTCCTGCCAGGCCCAGTCAACGGGCTCAAATCGGTCAGGAGGGCGGCCGAACGGCTTGGCGAGAGCCCCAAGAGGCTTCAGACATCCAGTAGACGCCCGAAGACGACCCAGAGAAGACCTGCAAGAGGCTTTTGAAACGCAGGACAAATATCGATGTAATATGTATCGTGGTATGAGTCGAATGTTCTGTTCTTCGGTCTTCCGTGCCTCCGAGACCGCCGAACACCGCCCTATGACCTTATGACGGCCCAAGGTGGCCCCCTAAACGCCCCCCGAAGCATTCCAAATCATGACCTGGTCGTTCAGGGAGACCTTGGTTGGAAGCAGGGTGGCCCGAGTAAGCCCCCAGACACCATCAGAAGGCGCCTAGGAGGCCTCCAAAAGGCCTCGAGAAGCCCTTAATTAAACATTTCTGCGAGGCCCCGAAGAGGCTCTTCAAGGATGGGCGATGAGGATTGGGAAGAATTCGCAGGGTAGGGCGAGAATGAGGAAGAGAAAGAGGAAGAGGAAGAAACAGAGGAAGAGGAAGAGGAGTCATGAGGGAAGGATATCACGAATAACACGATTACAACGGCGATGTCTGACAAAAGGCAAGTCGACGTTGTATCTATACTTTCTGCTTTGGCTTCCTGCCCTTCCGCCTGCACGCCACACTTCAAGTACCAAGGTGCATGGCGCGAAGCTCCAAAGTGGGTATGTATATGTGTGTGTGTGTATAGATGTACATGTGTATGTATATGTACATATAAGTGTACAGGTACATGTATATGCTTCTGTATCTGTGAATATATCAACATGTATAAAGTGGGTGTATCCACGAATTGTTGTATGCATGCATACATGTATGTATGCATGTATGTATGCTTGCATGCATGTATGTATGTATGTATGCATGCACGTGATCATGCATGCATGTATGCATGTATTCATATCATTTATGTATGTATGCATGCATGCATTCACGCACACATGTATGCATATATGTATGTCTATAGGTATGTATATGTATGTAGGTCGGTGCGTATGTAGATACGTAGGTACCTATGCATGTATATGTATATGTGTATGTATATGTATGTGTATAGTTTTATGTATATGTATACGTATACGTACATGTACACATACTTGTATTTGTATGCGTATAGTATGATCATACGTATGTATGCATGTATATGTATGTCTGCCTGCATGTATGTATGTATACATGTGTGTATGCATATATGTATGCATGCATGCATACATGTATGTATGTATGTATGTATGTATGTATGCATACATGTATGTATGTAGGTGCTTGCATGCATGCATGCGAGTTGTATGTATGCACGCATGTATGTATGCATGCATGCATGTATGTATGTAGATATGCATGTATGTGTATACATGTATGTATATAGGTATGCAGTTGAGTATGTACGTCGGTACGCATGACTGCATTCATGTATGTATGCATGCATGCATGTATGCATATACGAATGTATGCATGCATGCATGCATGCATGCATGCATGTATGTATGTATGTATGTATGCATGTATGTATGTATGTATGTATGTATGTATGTATGTGTGCATGTATGTAAGTTATATGTATTATATATATGTATACACATATATATATATATATATATATATATAGTGGAGGCGCCTCGAGCGGGCCGCCGCAGAGCCGGGGGGGCACACCACCAGAGAGACCCAGCCCGTCGGCGACATCCGAACCTTACCCTCGCCGATCCATTATTCGGGCAACTCGATGGGCGGCGGGGGTAGGGTTCGAGCACGTGGCGAAATCCGAACCCTACCCTCGACTCCCATCGATTCAGGGGAATCGATTGCTGGTGGGGGTAGGGCCCGGACGTCGCCACTTAGCTGGGCTCTTGCGTCTGGTGGTGGTGGTGGCATCCATCCTTGCGCCCAGCAAGGGACGGGGGCAGTGCGACGTCCCCAAGCTGCCGCGAGGCGTCGTCATGAAGAAGTTCGCCACTGGCGTTGGCCACACGCTCTACGTCCGAAGCGACGGGGCCGCCGTCGGCGTTGGGGCGAACGACCAGGGGCAGACCCTGGTGCCAGCCCTCCCAGCCGAGGTAACCTACACCGAGGTTTCGGGCGGTCCAGACCACATCGTGCTGCTTCGCAGCGATGGCTCGGCCGTGGCGTTTGGGGGGAACCGCGACGGGCAGTGCGACATGCCTATCCTGGAGGGCGAGGTAACCTATAAGCAAGCGTCCGCTGGTGGGAAGCACACTGTGCTGCTGTGTAGCGATGGCTGTGTGGCGACCGCGGGTGCGAATGACTGCGGGCAGTGCGACATCCCAGACTTGTCGGCAGGCGTCTTCTACACGCAAGTGGCGTGCGGGAGCGAACACACCGTGATGCTGTGCAGCGACGGCCAGTGCGTCTCCATGGGCAGCAATGCTCAGGGCCAGCTCAACATCCCCCAGCTCAAGCCCAGCGTCAAGTACACGGACATGGGAGGAGGAGTGGAGGGGACGGGCGAGGTAGGGCGGGCGAGAGAGGACGGAGGCGCAGGCTGTGCGGCGGAGTGATGTGGGCACGTCAGCTATCCACCTCACCGATCCTGGCCCGGCCCATCCGGGGGCCCAGGATCCGCCAGGCCAGGATCGGCTGTGCGGACAGGTGACGTCCCCCGATACACGAGGGAGGACGGGGGAGAGGGGGATGGAGGGGCGGAGGAAGGGAGGCGGCGCGACGGAGGGAAGCACTGGGCTGGCGGGTGCTCCAATGCTCTCCCCTCGAGGAGGTTTCCTGCAGCGGCCACACCACGCTGCTGCTCTGCAGCGACGGCTCTGCGGTCGCCGTCGGGGCCCACGACCACGTGCCACAGCTGGGAGTTCTCCAGAGAGGGGGCGAGGCCGAGGGAACCGGGCTAGCCGCCTCGCCTTTGCCCCGCCCTAGCAGGGCTGGAGATGGGGTGAATTAAGGAGAGGTGGTTGTCCCAAACCCCGCTCGGTGGCCCACTTCCTGTACACGGGCCTGCAAGTGCGCACACGAGGGGTGCTTCTGCCATGGGTGGCGCACACACTGCCACGAGTGTGCTGCGGCTCGCGCTGAGGACTGCGGGGATGCTGGAACAAAAGGGGACGAGGCCAGCGCTGGCGGGCACACCCGACTTGTCCTGGGCTCGAAGCCCGGACTCTTTCAAACTCACGCGCCGCATCGGCGGCTCTGTGCTGGGCCCGCCCACCCTCCCCCGGCCGCCTCCTCCTTGCCCCCAACCCTCCCGTGGATGCAAGGGCTCCCTCGAGGGCGCGAAGTTATTCGCGCTTCGCGCTTCGCGGTCCTCGTTCCTTCTCCTCCTCCTCCTCGTCCTCCTCTTCTCCCCCTTGGGGGGCGGCGCGAGAGCGCGAAGTTATTCGCGCTTCGCGCTTCGCGCAGCGCGAAGCGCGAACTTAGGAGCCCTTGTGGATGCAGGTCCTCGCTCTCCCTCCGCCGGGCCGCGCGCCCGCCTCCTCCCCCCCCTCCCCCGCCTGCCGCCGCACGCTGCTGCGCCGCGTGCTGCATGCGGCTGCTCTTCTGCCGCTGCTGCCTGCACGTCCGTTTCGGCACGCCCTTCGCGCGGATCGTGCCGCACAGGGCGCCCCCCCCCCCCCGACGTCCGGCGTCACAATTTTTCCGAGGCAGGCCCCTGACTTGTCGACCGCTTCCCCGGGACTGGTTTTCATCCCGAGTCGCTTTTTGACGATCCTGAGGGCCAGGCAAGGGCCCCGAGATGCCGAGAACGATGAAAAGCCTCCGCCTCGATTTTGTCGAGACGCTGGATGTCTGGGCCGCGGCCCCATCTGGTGGCGCCTGCACGCGCCCCCTCGGCCCGTCTTTGGCAGACCCTTCGCATTAGATGTTTTGGGGACAATCCTGGGGGAACACCTGCCAGATCTGTTCGACTCCTGTCCGATTCTAGTTCGTCTCTACTTCGACTCAATGTCGACTCAAGTTCGACTCAAGTTCGACTCAAGTCGAGGACGTTAGACGCAGCATCGACGCATGAGTGGAGCGAGCTGCTCCAGAAAGGACCCCAGAACGAGCGTCGAATTCACACGCTTCGTGCCCCACTGGGAGTTGCCTCCTTTGGTCCCAGTCGGGCTGCGCGCGTGCGGTCCCCGCCATCGCCTCGGCACACCCGTCGCACGTATCGGGCCCCCCGGGGAGCTCCACTTGCTGCAGCAGTTGAGCGACGCAAACATTTGGCGGCGAAATCCGAACCGTACCCTCGCTGATCAACGATTCAGGCAACTCGATGGGCGGCGGGGGTAGGGTTTGGACTTAATTGAACACGTGGCGAAGTCCGAACCTTACCCCCGCCTCCCATCGAAATCGATGGTTGGTGGGGAAAGAGTTCGGCAGACATAGGTGTGTATGTTGCCCGCGTAAGCTCGCGCGTAAGCTCCCTCGTTTCCAACGTGGCGTTCCGCGTATGCCAGCGCGTAAGGTCTCAATGCCATTTCGCGTGAGGCCTGTTTCTTTTCGTCGCCCAGTTGGGGCGTCTGCTCGCCTCTTGCCCATTCCGGCACAGCCCTCACGCGCGTCGTTCCCAGTGTATCACTGCGTTAAGCAATGCCCCAGAAGAATCGAAGCGTTGCTCTGCAAACGATCCCAGGCTTCGCGGATCCAGTTTCTTGTGGGTCCAGAATGCCAGTGCGTTTTTTGTGGCACACACGCACAGAACACAAAGACACATGTATTCGAACACCCAAGTCCAAGCACACAATCTCACATACCACAAGCGAATGTAAACACACTTTTTGGCGTCGCGACATCGCGTGCAGCGTTGAGGCATGTAAGGTTAAAACAGCAAGTGCGCGCGCCTATCCGCCCGAGGCCATCTGTGACTACTTAGGGCCACGCAGCGCTGGCCGCCATAACCATCCGTGCGTGGATGGCGGGGGGGGGCAGTTGATAGACGACCTTCGGTGAAATGCAAACACACGCGCAATCGCACATTAGCACACAAGTACACAAACACACAAACACACAAGCAAGCACACACACACGAACATAAGCCCACAAAAACACAACCACACACAGGCACACACGCACACACAAATGCAAGCACACATCTACTTTTTGTTGTTGCTTCCCTGCCAGTTGATTCAATTCAGCGAATATTAGCTGGACATGCAAGTGAGAATTACCCTTAAGCGTTGTTGATGGGTGCCGTTGAGGAGAAAACCGGGGCGAGAACGACGGCATGTACCTGCGGATGCTAGCAGGAACGGCCAGGAGTCTGGCTGCGAGGCGCTTCGGCAGTATGGCCAAGAATCACCAGCACACAGACACACAAACGCACAAACACGCTTACACAAGCACACTAGCACACCAGCACACCAAAACGCAAACTCTGGTCGCCCAAAGAGGTCCATAGAGGCCAAACACGCCCAAGAATCTCGTCCTCCCTGCTCTGTCTCGGATCCCCCCTCTGGAAGCCTCCCAGACAGCTGCCTCCGCGGACGACCTACACGTCCGTCAGCGCCGGGCCGGAGCACCTGGTTCTCGTCGGGCTTTGGACACGGCGACCGTGGGGGCCGCCGCGGCTCCCGATCTGGCCGGCAGAGGGTCTGGGGGGCAGCCCAGGGGTGCTGGGATGGGAGGTGGGGGTGGGTGGGGCAGGAAGGAGATGGGGGATGAGGAGGGGGGCGGGAGGATCAGCAGGCAAATGAGGAGGGACGGGGCTGATGGTGATGGTGATGCTGACGATGACGATGATGATGATGATGATGATGATGATGATGATGATGATGATGATGATGATGATGATGATGATGATGATGATAATGATGATGATGATGATGATGAGGATGATGATGATGTTGATGATGATGATGATGTTGTTGATGATGATGATGGTGATGGTGATGGTGATGATGATGATGATGGTGATGATGATGGTGGTGGTGGTGGTGGTGAAGACGACGATGATGATGATGGTGATGATGATGATGGTGATGATGATGATGATGGTGGTGGTGGTGGTGAAGATGACGATGATGACGACGACGATGATGCTGATCATGATGATGACGGCACTGATGATGATAATTATGACGAGGTTGATGTTGTTGATGGTGACATTGTTGATGATGGTGCCCACTATCAAGAAATATTATGATGAATCTGATGATGCTGATAACGTTTTCGTTGTTGTCGCTGATGATGATGGCGGGGATGATTATGATACTTCTGATGATGACGATGTTGATGATGATGATGCTGATATTGATTACGCTGCTGATGATGATAAACATGATGGTGATGATGATGCCGAGGATGATAATGCTGATGATGCTGAGGATGATGCTGATGATGACGATGCTGAAACACATAATGATGATGAGGTTTTTGATGCTGATGATACTGATGATGATGAGGATGATGCTCCTGATGATGATAATAATAATGTTGATGATGATGACGATCCTGATGCTGACAATCATGAATATTGTCGATATGATTGTGAGGATTAGGATTTTGATGACAATGATGTTGCTGGTTTTGTTGTGGTGGTGTGATGATTGCAGGGATATTCGGATGAAAGTGAGGTTGGTGATGATGACCATGATGATAATGCTCATGCTTATGGTGATGCTGATGCTGATGATGATGGAGGATGCTGATGCTGATGATGCTTGTGCTGTTGATGATGTGGATGGGTCTGCTGGTGGTGATGCTGATGCCGGGGCCGAGTGCGAGGAGAAGGGACGGGGATGATGATTGAGATTTGGATGAGGAGGAATACAAGGAGGAGGGAAAGGGGGAGGAGGATGGAAAGGAGGATGAGACACAGGAGGGGGATGAGACGAGGATGAGGGGTTGGATGGGTAGGGCGAGGGGCTGCGGTGCTGCTTCTGAGTATGGTAGTGCCGATGTTAGTGGATCTGATGATGCTGATGATGCTAATGACGATATTGTTGTTGTTGATGATGATGATGATGATGATGATGATGATGACGGTGATAATGGTGCTGACGATTCTGATGATGGTGATGATGATGCTCATGCTGCTGGTGATGATGTTGATGATGAAGATGCTGATGCAGCGTAATGGTACTGATGATGGTTCTGATTATGATGATGGAGGTGGTGATGCTGATGCTGATGATGCTGATGATACTGATGGTGATGATGATGATGCGGATAAGGCTTCCGATGACGATGATGATGATGATGATGATGATGATGATGATGATGATGCTGATGCTGATGACGAAGTCGATGATGAGGACGAAGATGTTAATTTCGGATTTGGGCGATGATGAAGAATATTATGATGATGCTGGTGATTTTACTGATTCTGATGCTGCTGCTGATGCTGGTGCTGTTTTGGTGGTCTCATGGTTGTTGCATGAGCATACGGACGATTGTTATGAGGATTATCCTGGCAATGGTGATGATGTTGATGGTAATGATGATGCTGGTGATGCTGATGATGACGAGGATGCTGATGCTGATGAGGATGCCGATGAGGATGATACTGATGATGATGCTACTGCTGATGATGACGATGATGATCATTATGATAACGATATCAGAGAAACTATGTATTCAGTTTGTGTCGGGGTTTCGTTTTTCTGCTATGCCTGGCGGCCCATAGGGGCCAGACGGATCGCGAGGAGGCGGAGGAGGAGGAGGAGGAGGAGGAGGAGGAGGAGGAGGAGGTGGAGGAGGAGGAGGAGGAGGAGGAGGAGGAGGAGGAGGAGGAGGAGGAGGGGCCATCTGTGGTTGTGGCTCCTCGCGTTTATCCGGCCTGCCTCTCTCCCCTCCCCCTCCTCCCTCTCTCCCTAAACCCCCCTCCCTCCTCCTCCCCCCCGCCCCTCTCCCCGAAATGGGACGAATTACAACCGACTGGTCCCACTTCCAACCGTTCGGAGCGAATTGCAACCATAAATGGGACCAATAAAAACCATCGGATCTTCAGAAGTACTTCTTTCTTCTTCAGAAGTCCTTCTTTCTTCTTCAGAACTATTTCTTTCTTCTTCAGAAGTACTTCGATTCCGTAGGATTCCTTATGATTCCTTGTGATTGCTTAGGATTCCTTAGGATCCCTAGGATTCCTTAGGGTCCTTGGGATTCCTTAGGATCACTTTTCTTTGCGCCCAAATAAGCCCTAGAAGGGCCAACTTTAGAGGGCTGCAGGGGGGCCCAGCAGAATGACGCCCTATGGGGGCTCAGATTGGACCTCGCCATCCCTGGGGGGGGGCTGCGATCTGCGAAAATTTCGCCACTTTCGAGGGGTGCTGGTGAGTCCAGAGGACTGGCGTCCTACAAGGGGCCCTAAAAGAGCCCGAAACGGCAGCAAGAGGGAAAAGCAACCGAACAATATTTCCCAACCCTCCTGCGTTGGGTTCTCGTTTTGAATAGAGCACTGCTCGCGCGTCTCCTTCCCACTCGCGCGTCTCCTTCCCACCCCCTCCCGTCCCTCTCTTCCCCCCTGCCTTTGACCTCGCCATCCCTGGGGGGCTGCGATCTGTGAAACTGTCGCCACTTTCGAGGGCTGCTGGGGGGCCCAGCACAGTGGGTACTCACCGCGGACTCAAATTAGACTTCGCCATCCCTGGGGGGCTGCGATCTGTGAAACTGTCGCCACTTTCGAGGCCTGCTGGGGGGCCCCGCACAGTGGGTACCCACCGCGGACTCAAATTAGACCTCGCCATCCCTGGGGGGCTGCGATCTGTGAAACGGTCGCCACTTTCGAGGCCTGCTGGGGGGCCCAGCACAGTGGGTACTCACTTTCGAGGCCTGCTGGGGGGCCCCGCACAGTTGGTACCCACCGCGGACTCAAATTAGACCTCGCCATCCCTGGGGGGCTGCGATCTGTGAAACTGTCGCCACTTTCGAGGCCTGCTGGGGGGCCCAGCACAGTGGGTACCCACCGCGGACTCAAATTAGACCTCGCCATCCCTGGGGGGCTGCGATCTGTGAAACTGTCGCCACTTTCGAGGCCTGCTGGGGGGCCCAGCACAGTGGGTACTCACCGCGGACTCAAATTAGACCTCGCCATCCCTGGGGGGCTGCGATCTGTGAAACTGTCGCCACTTTCGAGGCCTGCTGGGGGGCCCAGCACAGTGGCCACCGCGGACTCAAATTAGACCTCGCCATCCCTGGGGGGCTGCGATCTGTGAAACTGTCGCCACTTTCGAGGCCTGCTGGGGGGCCCAGCACAGTGGGGCCACCGCGGATTCAAATTAGACCTCGCCATCCCTGGGGGGCTGCGATCTGTGAAACTGTCGCCACTTTCGAGGCCTGCTGGGGGGCCCAGCACAGTGGGTACTCACCGCGGACTCAAATTAGACCTCGCCATCCCTGGGGGGCTGCGATCTGTGAAACTGTCGCCACTTTCGAGGCCTGCTGGGGGGCCCAGCAGTGGGTACGCCACGCGGACTCAAATTAGACCTCGCCATCCCTGGGGGGCTGCGATCTGTGAAACTGTCGCCACTTTCGAGGCCTGCTGGGGGGCCCAGTGGGTGACGCGCGGATTCAAATTAGACCTCGCCATCCCTGGGGGGCTGCGATCTGTGAAACTGTCGCCACTTTCGAGGCCTGCTGGGGGGCCCAGCACAGTGACGCCACCGCAGATTCAAATTAGACCTCGCCATCCCTGGGGGGCTGCGATCTGTGAAACTGTCGCCACTTTCGAGGCCTGCTGGGGGGCCCAGCACAGTGACGCCACCGCGGATTCAAATTAGACCTCGCCATCCCTGGGGGGCTGCGATCTGTGAAACTGTCGCCACTTTCGAGGCCTGCTGGGGGGCCCAGCACAGTGACGCCACGGCGGATTCAAATTAGACCTCGCCATCCCTGGGGGGCTGCGATCTGTGAAACTGTCGCCACTTTCGAGGCCTGCTGGGGGGCCCAGCACAGTGACGCCACACGCAGATTCAAATTAGACCTCGCCATCCCTGGGGGGCTGCGATCTGTGAAACTGTCGCCACTTTCGAGGCCTGCTGGGGGGCCCAGCACAGTGTCGCCACGCGCGGACCCAAATTAGACCTCGCCATCCCTGGGGGGCTGCGATCTGAGATCCCCGCCTTCGAAGTGGCTAGGGTTGCTCAGGGATCGTAACTAATCAGCTTTATCTAGTCCTTGTCCTGTATCCAGTGTCCTGCGAGTGTCCCGAATTCCGTCTGCAGACATATGTTACCCTCGTTCTGTCATCGCCCCCTTTATAAAGTGTCCTAAACTATTTGCGCCCCGCATTTGCGCAGGGGTTGTGTACGTCGCCAGGGTAATTTATTTTTCGGAAGGGGGCGGGAAGAACAACCGAACAATTTTTTATTGTTCGGAAGGGGCTGCTTTGGGGGCCTTCTTGGGGTCTCTCTGGGCCACTCTGAGGGCCCTCTTGGGGCCTTCTTGGAGCCCTCCTGGGGCTCTTATTGACCCTTCTTGGCGCCCAGATAAGCTCTAGAAGGGCCAACTTTAGAGGGCTGCAGGGGGGCCCAGCAGAGTGACGTCCCATGGGGGCTCAGATTGGACCTCGCCATCCCTGGGGGGG